ACGGTTTGACCGGGTTGTTGATGAACCGGACCGGAACTACCGGGATGGAGGCTCAGTTCCGTCCCGTCCCACTATATACCGGGACGGACCGGAACGGAACGGGATGGGATAAACGGGACGGCACATATAGTTATTTCAAAAAATAATTATTTTTTTTGAGTTATTTTGAATTACGAAAATACGAATGTTTTTTTTATTTTTCTAAGTTATATTCGTTTATAGTAATTAAGTTTTAAAATTTATAATAATTTTACTTAAGTTTATTTTAAAGATATTTTTTGTAATTTTTACGTATATAAGTTTGTAAGTTAAGTTTAATAAAGTTTTTTTTTTTAGTTTTTGAGCTTATGTAGTTATGTTATAAGTTTTAAAGATTTGAATCTTTTGAAGTTTATAAGTTATTAAGTTATACTTATAACTTGTAAGTTAAATAACTTAAGTTTGTAATTTTTAAAAAATTAAATAAACAAAAAAGAAATGCTAATAAAAGTAAATAATGAAAAAAATATTATTTTTTATTTTAATTAAAAATGATTTATCGGGACCGGACCGGACCGGAACGGAACCGGAATGAACCGGGATGAACCGGTACCGGTATACCGGTACCAAATCATGGTACCGTTCTGTTCCGTGTACCGGTTCAACGTATCCCATCCCGTCCCGAATACTACCGGACCGGAACGAACCGGAATGGTACCGGAACGGTACCGGAATGGTACCGGAACGGTACCGGAACGGACCGGAATGGTACCGGTACAACCCGTTCTGGTGCCCAGCCTTACACACTTCACACACATAAAATTCAATTTTCATTCCAGCAGTAACCATAGTTCACATTTCACACACTTCATATACAATATGTATAACGAAATGACATAAATTATATTCACATTTCACACACATCATATACACATATTATTCACACACACTGTATACATAATTTTCTTTCCAGCAATAACCATAGTTCACATTTCACACACATTTCATAGACTATTTATAAAAAATATGACATACATTATATTCACATTTCACACACACTGCATACACATATTATTCACACACACTCCATATATATATATTATTCACACACTTCATACACTTATTATTCAAAAAATTCCAGGAGTACCTATACAATACAGAGTAGTTAAATAAGATCATAAAATTTGAAAACAAAATTAATAATTCATATGCATATCAATGTTGTATCATAATTCATACAAAATACATCATTTAAAATTTATAATCAAATGCACAAACATTTTATTCAGATTTGGAACAAATTTCAGAAAAACAAAAATTTGAAAACAACAATAATAATAATGTGATATAAAAAAATAACTATTTTGAGTAATGTGAAAAATAAATTAAATAAATTACTTACCTTAATCACTTTTTTGGGCTTTGATGTTTCAGCGACTTCAACCTTTGTTGCTTTGTTGCTTTTTTTATTTTCTTCTTTTTTTGTTTGACCAATAAAATTCGAATCTGAGTCGGAATCAGACTCTGGAGGGGTTTCAACAAGTTTTTTCCCCTTCCTCTTCTTCCCCCTTTGATTTGTTGTAGTCACACTTTGGTTTGCTTCATTATTTTTATCTTTTTGATTCTTCGAACGAGATGGACCACCGGTGACCGAAATTTGAACAGTTTTAGACGGGGTGTTTGAGATAGTATATTAAACGATGGAGCATGAGCATCATCAGTTGAAATTCCGTCAAATATGGGACTCTTTCGTGGAGTTTCAATTTGTTTCTTAGACATGATGATGAATAATCGTGGGTAAAATGGGTAATCGGTTTTGATGTTGGACTAGATGAGAAAGAATGGAGAAAGTTTGATAGTGGGTTGTGGGTTGAGTCGTGTGGGAGTGAAGAAACGTGTGGGATGGTGGTGTGATCGATGATTGGGGATGGTAACGGTAAACAAGGAAAGGAAATCCCTAAAATTGGGTAACTGAAAATTTTAGTTTTTTAAAAAAGGAAGTAAAATCAAATTAAATATCTATTATTAATTAATAATAAAAAACTATAAATAGATTAATAATTTATTAAATAAATATAATTTAAGTTTAAAATAAAATAAAATTTAATTGATATGTCATAACCCGTAAATAATCTGTTATAAGCAAGAAATTTTTAAAAGTAGGTTTAAAACCCGTAATATTTACTCTTAAATGTGTATATGGGGTGATTTTTCCAAAGCGTAAAAGTCGATCCATTAGGTATTAACTACTTAACTCCACTCATTTTAATTTGTTTTTCTTGATTCAATATGATATGAAATTTAAGAAAAATAAAATTTATTATCTGAAATTAAAGGTGTATAATGAACCAAAATGTCTTTTGAGTCTTGTGATCTTAAGAAATATGTCCTCCGTGTATACTAAATATAAAAAGTTATTCCTCCATTCCAACTGACGTAAAGTCATTTGACTGGACACAAAATTAAAAAAACGAAAAGATTTTGTCCTTCAAAGTCGGACCTTTCTGGTATGCATGAGTCTTTTTTCGATCGACAAAAATGCTGATCAAAATTTGAGAACAATCAATCTCTTCATTAAGGCTAGTAAAATTTGTGATCTAATATTATCCTAAGATAATTGTATGGTTATAAATCATTATTGATAAAGTGAAAAAGGAAAATTTTAAAGTTACTTTATTTATCGTTTATAATTTAAATATAAAAATTGATGTTCTTTTTAAAATAGATTTAAAAAAAATCTAAATATAAAACGTCATATTAGACAAAATGGCACAGTGTGACAACGTAGAGACTAAATTGGCAATAAATAGCCTACTTTTAAGATTTTAGCAAAAAAAGACTTTGTTTTATTTATTTGACATTTAATAGTTATTTTTATTTTTCTTAAAAAATATTTTTTTGTTCCCTCTTTTTTCTCTAAACACGTTTGATTATTTTATCATTCCTATTTTATCTCTCCTTTTTATTTGTTAACCATTTTAAAATAGAGTTCTTCTTCTTCTTCTTCTTCTTTTGTCTCATTTTTCTCTTTCTATAATTCTTTTTCTAGTATATTTCTTTCTCTCTCAAATTTTCGATTCTTCTCCTTAATTCACTCTGTTATGAAAATTAGGTATAACAATATGCTTATTCATACATACTTCTAAAAATCATATATAATCTTGCTCTTGTTCAATTTATTGTTGATTTTCATGATTTGTAGAATTAAGTTTTTTCAATTTTGTTTTACAAAATTTTAGGTTATCTATCCTTTTTTTTTTTCTAAATTCCTTTTCATATATATATTTGCTTCTCTTCTAAATTTTCTCTTATTCTCCTTGATTCACTCTGTTTATGCAAATCAGATAAATTATATGTTTATTAATTGATCCTCCCAAAGATTTCTTTTAATATATAATTATGTAGCATTTCTTGTCAATTAATTTTGAAATTTCGTGATTTGTGGAATTAAAGTTTTAAAAGCTTTTTTTGCCAAAAATGTAGGTTTATAGTATTTGAAAATTTTGTTTTCAATTTCATGGTAAGAAAGGTTCTAGTAAGATCCTCATAAGAAATCGAAATGTCGATTTTGAGACAATTCATTTATATGAATGTCAATCTCAATTTGAATAAAAGTATATAAATTTATTAGGTGAATACAGACTAATGAATACACAAATGAATACGAACTGATGTATACATAGTGCAATTACCGTATACATAAATAAAATCACATGTACAATTTATGAATAAAATTTAATTAATACATGTATTCTTGTATACATTATAGTAATAACTAATACCTATAATTGTTGGTAATATTCTTATGTATACATTATAAAGTTTATGTATACATGCTACAATTACTGTTTACATCAATAAAATTTACTCGCCTATTTGTAAGAAATATTTTTTTGTGTATACATATAACACTCTTTTGTGTATACATTATGTACTTGCAACTTTAATTATTGTGTAATTTATGTATACATGTTATTAAAATATCTAATAAAAATCATTGCCTCTTAATATTATTTGAATAATTATTGTCAATTATTTTGATAATTAATACACGTTAATTGAGCATTAATAATATATTTTCTTACCTTAAAAGTAGTCATAATATTTTATTAAGTTAATTGAATAATTTAAAAAAATCCTGCCTTAAAAGTTCATGTCACCATTTTTAATGGGTTAATTAATAAATATTTTTTTCACTTCTTAAAAGTAGGAATTTATTTTTTTAATAAACTAATTACTGCTATCTGTAAAAAAAAATTTTCAGAAAATTACAATCAACTATCTCTTTATGTTGTTGTAAATATATTGATAAATAAAGTTGAGTTTTAGAATTTAAAGAAATTGAAAAACTAACTTCCTTAATTATAAGAGTTAAAAACAAGAAAGAAAAATAACCCCACATCTCCTTAATTAATGCTATTGGTTGCACATGGTTAAAAAAAAACTGTAAAAAAATTGTTATTTTTCTTTTAGGCCAATACGTGCTATTTTTTATTGAGACTATTAATTGCTAATTAATATTGGGCTATATATTGCTAATTATATATAATAATTGTATTTCTATGTCAATTCCTCGTGATATTACTCAATCATATTTTACTTTTATTTTTACCCGAGAGGATGAAAAAGAAGCAGCAGAGCAGGAGCAACAGAGCAAGCCTAAAATTTGTCAACACTGACATTTTAAATGGCGTCACTACGAGCAGCTACCAGATTCCCATTCCTACTTGTTTGCAACGAAAGAACAAGTAATTGAGGTGGTTTAGCATAAAATCAACGGAGAATGAAGCCATATGTCCTTGAACTGTGAAATTTGGTACTATAATATTGTTCTCCATTCACCTATTGAGTCTAAACTCTAACGTTAACGTTTTGACTCAAGATTGGCCTTTAAGAATAGCGGGCACACACCCAATTGAAATTATTTAAAAGGTGTTGGATCTCATAATAATTTTAACAAATAAAATAAAATCAATGATCTCTTTTTCTCTTTCTTCTGGTCTTTTAAGGATTTGAGCTCATAATGACAAATATTTATTATTTACTTCGTGTTAACAACAGTATTGCCTCGGTTTTAAAATGGAAGCTAGTGCTGACAATACTCTCTATAAACTATCACTAGTATATTATGACACTACAGCTACTCTCAGCTGATACATTATACATAACAGCAAAGTCCAAGAATGAGTAGCACAAAAGATTTCATAGATTCAGATTCTTACATGTCAACTTCATATATTCGATGAGCTTAGAGTTATTGCTCCTTTTGAGTATGTTTATAGGTAAGGTTCTCTTTTCTTTTCTTCTGAGAACCATGGAATTGTAGCAACAGTGAGTTGCTGACGACAATATTGAGCTCATAGCCATTAACCCTCCTGTCAGGAAAAAATGAAAGCAACAGCTGTTAATTCTCTTTCACAATTTGAAATTGCTTCTTTTGGGTTGAATTTTCTCCAAAATCACCAATAGATGAATAAAGAAACCACGGTGGAAAAACCCTCTAAGAAAAATCTATATATTGGCCATATTTTCCAGAAGATTGTCAACAAGATGCCAGATAAGTGATGATAGGCAACAAGAAGTATCTTAATTCATTTGGGTCGAGAGGCAGAACAAGTAGTATGGGTGTTATTTACCTGAAAGAGATGGTGTCATTGCAAAATCAAAAATTGGAAGTAGCACTCCAGCTGCAATGGGTATCGCAACCACATTATATGCAACCGCCCAAGACAAATTTTGATGAACTTTTGCCATTGTTGCCTGTGCAAGATCAAGAGCTTCCAGCACCTGCCAAAAAAATAGGAAGCATTGACAATACAAGATAAGGCACAACATCATTTTTTCATCTGAATAAATTCACAGGCAAATTGCATTGAACATTTGTGTAAATCATCCCATAGAAATTGCTGATACACACACAGAGGGATGTACAGTCTGCTTTCGGTCACCTGAACCTATTCTTCACAGTAATCCTCAAAACTTTAGTGTGAAATAAGTTAACGTGCTGTAAGTCATTCTTTGTGCTATGATATTCAGCATCTTTTTACAACAAAAAAAGATCCACCTTGATTTTCTTGACAGGGGAAATTTTGAATCGATCTTCCCATGACCATTCAATGAAAATGATAAGCAGAAACAAGACACAATAGGATAATGACTAAATAGTTATATCCTCTTATATGACATAATACATGTTACCACTTATTAAAGAAAAAATGACTTGGTACACGTTACACTATTTTTATGGTCAACGCTAATATGCGAAGAGATTATTAAATATTTTTTGAATAAACTTATTAAATTAAAGCCTCACTGCGATGACATGGAACAATTATTTTTTTAGGATGAATGTGATGACATGGAACATGTACCTGTGAAAGTCTATTTCCAAGGAGTATAATGGATGCTGCATTTGAAGCAGCAGTTTCCTGTCCTTCAACTTGCAAAGCAATCCCCACATCAGCAAGAGCAAGAGAAGGTGCATCATTAATACCATCACCAACCTTCAATATTAAGTTCCAGTTAGATAGCAATGCATAGTATCTGGCATTTAGCAAATCAGATGTTCGTATAGTACAAAACTAATACTCTTTCAGAAAGAAGTAGAATAATGAATAGCCACAAAGAGAAAAAAGAATTGTGATGACACTTGCTAGAGGGGCAAAAAGACAGCTCAATTATTGGATGTTGTGAGCCGTGGAGAAGCAGTTTCCTTAAAAGGGCCACGTAATTGTAGAAGTCAATTTTTATATGTTAACTTTTACAATTATATAAACCAGAGTTTTCTGGGAGAAAGGTAGCAGCCAATTGCACATGGTATTGCAGGACAAGATAAGTACAGTATTAGGTTTTCATCAGATACATGGAGTTACCATGGCGACGCGGTGGCCTGAAGCTTGAAGACCTGAGATGGCAGCAGATTTCTGCTGGGGTGTTAAAGATGCATTGACAAATTTGTCTTTTATGCCTACTGTCTTAGCTACAGTTGCAACTGCCTCTTCCCTGTCTCCCGATAACAGTACTGTTTCAATTCCCTTGTGCTGAAGCCTTCAATTGGTAAGAATTTAAAAGAAAATATGAGACAACTAAACAAGAATAAAATTAAGATGTTTTACGAGAGGAAGTTGGAAGAAAAGAAAAGGGATGAGCAACAGGCAGGTGGTGGAATACATTTTTGCAACACTCTACATATTGAATCCATTCAAATTAAGAACTGATGGAAACATCTGTAAAATCTTTATGATCTAAGTTTCAATCTATAACATGTTCATAGAAATCTGGAGTTTGTAAAACTGCGAGAGGCAAGTCAATTTAAGGATACAAGTAACTTCTTCAAAAGGCAGAAGACTGGATGATTGCCTCAAATTCCCACGTTATAACAACTTCTTCAAAATAAAAGAATTAAGAAGCTAATGACCTACCACACATTAAAGATGGGTACCATATCTATGCAGCAAGGAGAAAAGTGAGGAGTGGGGCCATGGGGGAGACAAATGATGATTATAACTTCTAAGATGCATCTAAAAATTTACACTTGAAATTGTCTTTAAGGTTACCTTCTTATTGTAGACTCAGCATCCTCGCGTAATTTATCAGATATTGCAATGGCCCCAATCACACCCTCTCCCTCCCGACCAACATATACAACTGTTGTTGAATGATTAGATGATTGACTGTCCTGTAATGATTTATGCATCACAGATTGCTCAAGAGTCATCAAATCAGAAAGGTCTGTTTTATGCTGGAAACGTTCTTGAACCCATTTCAGCTTTCCAATTGCAACCAAGAGCCCATTTACTTCTGCCATGGTTCCAGAGCCAGGTTCCGCCAATTGTCCACGTGTGACAGGGATACTCAAATTTAATGATTCTGCTTTGCTAATAATAGCATGAGCAATGGGGTGTGATGTTGTTTTCTCCACTGCAGCAGCTATTTGAAGAATCTCTAATTCCTCATGCCCCAATGACGTGATAGCAGAGACAGCAGGTTTTCCTTCAGTCAGAGTTCCCGTCTGAGAGTTACAAGCAGAGATCAGGTTTGTAATTCAAATAAATCACTACATATCTTTTGATTTTAGCTGCGGAAGTAAATTTTGCAACTAAGTACTCAATTGAAGAACTACTAAACACCTTGTCCAGCATGACATGATCCACACTTGCCAAGCGTTCGAGTACATCTCCTCCTCTGATAAGAAGTCCTTGTCTTGCTCCTGTTTAGTTTCAAAAGATAATTACAAGCTTAGCAATTTGGCAGTGTATAAGGTTACGCCATGAAAACTGAACTGCCTACTAAACTAAAGAGAGAAAATAAAAAGGCGAGTATGTAAAATCCAGTATCCACAAAGTGTTTTTCTGAACACTTTGAAAAAAATTATATTTCTATCTCCTTGTTGTAACCAGAGTACTTTAGATTTTTGCCTCCAACTGAATTCTTCTTTTTCTTCTAGCTCCTCTAATTCCACCAAAATTGCGGCCCTTATTGTCATTTCTTCCTCAGTCAGGACACTGACATCTTGCACTAAATCCAGATCTGCCAGTTAATTGAGCAGGTTGCTTCTTTTTTTTTTTTGAGAAGGTAACGATTTGTATTATAAACCAGTACTTATGTAGTACTGAAGCCCCTTTACAAAAACTTGTGAAAATCTAGGAACAAAAACAGCAAGCCTAGCATGATTCTAATACTTCTAGGATTGCTTCTGCATCTACAGGGGAACTCTTTGTACACCAAAAACATAATAACAGAATACAATCTGTTTTGATCATTTGTAGGGATCTGCTTCTATCCTCAAAGCTTCTAGCATTCCTTTCTCTCCAAATGGTCCACCAGATGCATGCTGGAATTGTCCTCCAATAACTTCTGTTCTTTGCTTCAATTCCTGCTTCCTCCCAACTTGAGAGAGTGTCAACAATCTTGCTAGGCATTGTCCATTGAATGCCTCTGAGATTGATGAAAATCTTCCACAATTGATAGTGATTTTGCAATGCAAGAACAAATGCCTTAACTGTCTCAGCTGCCTCCCCACATAAACAACAATGTGTCACCAAAATGTTGTTTCGTTTCCTCAGATTCTCATGTGTTAGTACTGCCTCCTTTGATAGCAGCCAAGTGAAGCATGCCACCTTGAGTGAATTTTGGTTTTCCAGATTTGTCTCCAAGGCCAATTGAGGGTTAGAGGAGCCCTGTTCATGACCTTGTAACCTGAGCTCACTTTGTATCTTCCTTTGTTGTGCTCTGTCCACCATAAGCAGTCCTCCCCTTCCTTCAAACCTTGAAATGATTCCAGCCTTCTAAAGAATTCAACTAATCTACAAACTTCCCAGTCATTTAAATTCCTTCTGAGAGATAGATCCCAACCTTGGGGAGACCACATTTCAGCCACTGTTCTTTCTTTATATAGTGCTAAGTCAAAGATGTCAGGGAAGATCTCTGACAAATTTTGATTACCAAGCCATCTATCTTTCCAGAATTGTGTCCTGACACCATTGTGTACTGTTATAGTAGTATGATTCCTTAGGAAAGGCCACCAGTTCCTAATTGATCTCCATACAGTAACACCATAGGGATTGGTTGCTTCCTTGGTGACCCATGAATCCATCTCTGTACTTCAGTTTAATCACCTTGCTCTACATTGAGTGTGGTTCATGAGCATATCTCCACAACCATTTCAGCTTAAGAGCCTTGCTTTGGTTCTTCAAATTTTTGATGCCTAATCCTCGTTTTTTTCCCGTGATCATAACTTTCCATTTTACCAGATGGTATCCCTTTCTTTTCTTGTTTCCTTGCCAGAAAAAAATTCCTTCTTAGTTTATCCAATCTCTGTACTACTCCCGCAGGTATTGGGAACAAAGTTAGCATGTACGTAGGAAGGGTATCCAAGACTGCATTTATCAAAGTGAGCCTGCCCCCCTTTGATAAATATTGTGCTTTCCATCTGACCAACTTCTTCTCACATTTCTCCAAGACAGAATTCCAAATTTCTTTGGACTGTGATTTTGCTCCCAATGGCATCCCCAGGTAGATAGCAGGTAGTGCTCCCACCTCGCCTCCGAGCAGGTTGCTTTTCTTGTTGGCTAACTCTCAAAACTTCTCTTTGCTCTTTGCTCCAAAATTTAAGCTTATTTTCAAGGAGCTTAAGTTGATGCTAGTTTGTAATCTGGGCATCCTTCTACTTCAAATTCACTCCACCAGTTGTGCTAGCATCCACAATGGCATATCTCAATTAAAGTTTGATGGGTTTCAATGGAAAGTCAAGAAGATATTTATCATAGAAGAAGTATCTTGGAAGGATCTTCTGCCTTATGTATTTGAAAGCTTCTTCTCATTCCACAAGAGTATAAAAATCTATCCAATCTAGCAGCGCTATTATGATTTGGTCCTCTGAACCAAGTAAATCTGCCTCCATTTAAATGGGGAACATGCAGTTCCATCCCTTCAATCAACTTGGAGAAATCAGTCATTGTGTTTGTAATTCTATTGCAACCCCTTCTCTCCACCATAAGTGTAGTTGTAAACGACTAAAATCACCACATGTGACCCAATGACCACCACATATCCCTCTCATTGCTGCAATTTCCTCGCAACAATCATTTTTTTCATATCCAGAGTGAAGAGCATACACTCCTGTAAGGTACCAGCTAAAAGAATATTGTACACAGTCAAACCTGTAGGAAACAGAGTAGTTTCCTATATCCATTTGTTCCTCAGCCCAATTTCTACAATCCCCCACAATCAGGATACCTCCACTACTGCCTTGAGCCTCAAGAAATCCACATCTCATCCATCTGCAAGCCCATAATTATTTAGCACATGATTTCACATCTTTTCCAATTTGGTTTCTTGGAAACAATAAACATCTGCCTTCCACCTCTGCGTTAAACTCTTAACAAGCTTTCTTCTAGAAATGTCGTTGAGCCCCTTTGCATTCCATGAAGTCAAAGTGACTTTCATTGATAAGTCAAAGTTTGGACCATCCCCTACTCCTGACCCCTTCTACTTCTTCATTTAACTCTGAAGCCAAGTTTTTCAGTTCATTTTTTTCCAATTCCTCTGCTCTTGGAAGTCTTGATCTTATCCACCTGTCCTTATCTCTTCAAAAAAGCCTTTCTTTCATCTAATTTTGAGAAGAGAGAAAAAACTTCCTTCGCACATCCTACAAATGCAACTCACATGCCATGACATTTAGGTGGCAATAAAAGCTTCTCATTAGGGTTAAATGGGAAGTTTAAATTAAATTGTGTCCAAATTTATAAAGGAGAGATTCTTTCTTGAACGGACTAAAATGGAAATAGGGTCACATAAACTTGTGCGGAGGGAGTATATATAGCTAGGAATTTTTCTGAAATTGCTTGTATTATTGGCATTTCTGATAGCCAAGGAGCCCACATTTCTGCTTGTTGGTTGGAATATCTAAATCTCCTCTAGCAGTTTAGTCTATAAAGCAAGAGATACATCAAGGAGAATACTTTTGTGAGGAAGAATGTCAAAAGAGGATAAGGAATGTATGGGTATGTCCTCAATTGCAGCATAGCAGGGAGAATGGAGGAAATTCTGTGAACTACAGCAAAAGCATTTAAATCTGATTATGTACCTAGTGAGGTTCCAACAAGAATTGCAGTTGGTGTGGCAAGGCCTAAAGCACAAGGGCAGGAGACAACCTGTCAAAATCAAATACAGTAATATCAAACTTTTAAGTCCCAGTCAAGCTAGGCATCAGAAAAAGAATAGACTAGGTGAAATGACCACAGTAAGTTTGGTAGATTGGTATCACAATTGTTTTTTTCCTTATAAGGTAGGTTATCAAATCGTATATTATTACAAATCGTTTACTCTCAATACACAAATAGCACAAACTTCTTCCTATAGGCGAGCAATTTTGTGCTTTTACCTATAATGATATCATATTTATGAAGCAATAGCATCGAAAAGCAGCCTTCTGCAGTAATCCAATACATAACATGTCTTCTGTTTAAACTTTACAATTTGGTTTCTGTTTTTCTTTTTTATCAGTAAACTTTACAACTTGATTTCTACTTTGGGTCATCTCATAAAGCTTCTGCTGAAGTTTAATTACTCCTACAATTTCTTCACCCTAAAGTTATTGGCCAAATCTTCCTTCACCAGTTATATCATAAGAGCAAATGGAGAAGCACAGATGTGACCAGCAGACAAACTGACAAAGCACAAAGATTGGACAAGCTAAAATGATAACTCCAAAAGTTTTTGTCTAGCATTTATAACTTCCAATAAATAGCAGCAATCTCTAACAAGAACTGACAGAACAGAGAATGACTAGAAAATTTCTAGACAAAGATAGAAGGGAAATGGAGAAGCAATTTAAATTAGTTAGAAGGCATCGATATAAAATGGCTCATTAGTTCACCATGACGCACCAATACATCTACAGCAAGTTTCAGGCTCAGAAGCAAAGGATCTCCTTCTGGTCCGGCAATATCATTCAATAGAACATCTGGGAAGATGTTTGACCCAATGTAATACCTATATAATGAGCAATACTTATCAAACAACAGAAAATTATAAGTAACTTCTCGGTAAAATGAAATATATACAGTACCAGACCATGCTATCATTGTTGGAGAGACTCAAAGTAACCAAATAAGAGTATCAAAGATTCATTTCTACTGCTACCTATAAAATCAAGAGATCGATATATCTTTCATTGATCCAATGTTGTGTTTATATACAAGAATGGACTAACCAATTGCCTAAACTGACTCCTCTGAAAGAGGAGTGCTAAACGTGCTAAACTACTTGCAGAGATATAGGAGTGCTAGACTATTAGCTGAAGAATAGGTCAAACTATAATCAACTTAATATAATAATTAACATGTGCTTTAATACGGCCCCCTCAAGATAGGCAGTGTGTAACAACGCCTAGTTTGAATAGGTGTTTATCAAAGGCTGGCTTCAGTAGAGCTTTAGTGAGAGTGTCCGCGAGTTACTCTGCAGCATGGATATGAACAATGTGAACTTTATTCTGCTGAACTTGTTTGCGAACAAAGTGAAAGTCTACAGCAATGTGCTTCATGTGACTATGAAAAACCGGATTTGCACACAGATAAGTTGCACCCACATTGTCACAGTAAATGGTTGGTGCTTGGGGAAGTGAAACATGTAGTTCTTTTAGCAGATTTGTCATTCAGTTGGTTTCAGCAAGTGCACTTGCAACAACACAATACTCTGCTTCAGTTGATGAGCAAGCAATTGTTCTTTGTTTCCTGGAGGACCAGCTCACAGGATTTTGGCCAAAAAACAATATGTAACCAGTAGTGGAAGCTCGATCACTCACATCTCCAGCCCAATCCGCATCAGAGTACATGTATAGCTTGAAATCATTATCTCTTTGAATGTGAAGAGCAAGCTGAATTGTGCCTTGGAGATACCTGAGTACTCGTTTGAGTGCTTTCCAGTGGACTTCAGATGGGGAATGCATAAATTGAGACAATTTATTTACAGAGAAGTTGATGTCCGGACGAGTAAAAGATAGGTACTGTAGTTTTCCAAGAACTCTCCTGTAACGAGTGGCATCAGTTGGTTTCGTGCCATCATTCAGTTGAGGCACTTCAGTGGCACTCATTGGGGTTTTTGCTGAATTGCAGTCCTGCATGCTTTCTTTGGAGAGAGTTTCATGTATGTATTTAGACTGTGATAAGGTAATACCTTTGGCAGTACGGAGCACCTCAATTCCAAGGAAGAAGTGCAGATTCCCAAGATCCTTAATGGAAAAACGTCCAGCAAGAGAAGATATAGCCTGATTTACCTCGGAGTTGTGGTTCCCTGTGATGATGATATAGTCCACATAAACCAGGGCGTACAAAATGCTGTTACACACTTTGCGAATGAAAAGTGAGGCATCAGATTCTGACTTGACAAATCCCAGATACAGAAGGAACGTCTTGAGTTCATTGTACCACGCCCAAGGGGCTTGCTTTGAGTCCATAGATGGCTTTCTCTAGGCGACCTATATGGGAGGGGAACTGCTTGTCTGCAAAACCCGGAGGTTGGACCATGTACACTACTTCTTCTAGACGACCCTGCAAGAACGCGTTGTTGACATCAAGTTGGCGTAGGGGCCAATTCTGATGGACAGCAATTGAGAGCACCAAGCACACAGTAGTTGGTTTGACAACCGGACTAAATGTGGCATGGTAGTCAACTCCAGGACGTTGTGTAAACCCCTTTGCAACAAGTCGAGCCTTGTAGCGGTCGATTGTCCCATCAGCTTTCCGCCTTAACCTGTATAACCATTTGCAAGAAACAATGTTTTTTGTGGGGTCATGTGGTACCAATTCCCATGTCTGATTGTTCAATAATGCATCAAATTCACTTCTCATTGCTCTCTGCCACTCTGGGTGTTTGTTAGCGTGTTTGAAGCTGGTAGGGGTGATGGTGGGGGATAAGTGAGCCAGAAAATCAAGGATGGTTTTTGGTTTGTGAATGTTGTGTTGGGAGCGGGTCACAACACGAGTTGGTGGAGGAAGAGAAGGTTGTGGAGGTTCTGTGGCTTGAACAGGTTCAGGAGAAGGTTGTAGGGGAATTGAGGAAGTGGGATGGGCAGCGGAGTTTCGGCCATCAGATGACATTGTTTTGTTTCTGCGAGTGTACACAATTGGAAAAGCTGATGATTGAGGCAGCGGGGAATAAAACGGGGTATCAGTGAGATCAGGAGGGGCAACGGAGTGTGTAGGAGAAGGAGAAGAGGTACCTGGACGTGCAGATTCTGTTGGAGCGCAAGCAAAGGAGACGGTGTCTTTGTGAGCGTTGGTGGTACCTGCGTTCAGGATAAGTATGGGACTCAGTAAGTCGTGGCTAATAGGAGGAGAAAAAATAGGGGATGTTGGATTAGTTTCAGTTGAACCTTCCCACGCAAGTGTTTTACAAGTTGAAGAAACATTTGAAAAAATATTTTGGTAGGGAAAATTATTTTCAAAAAAATTCACGTCACGAGATAAATATATTTTAGAAGATTTTGGATCAAAACATTGATGACAATGATGAAGTAAAGAGAAACCTAAATGTTGAACGGGGCTCTAATTTATTTTTGGAATAAGGTTTGTGCCAGGGATAGCAGAGACACCCAAAGATTTTTAAAGAATTGTAATCCAGATCTTGACCAAACAATAGTTGAAACGGTGATTTATTTTGTAAAAGTGGGGTAGGCAAACGATTTATGAGATAAACTGCATGTTGACAGACAAAAGACCAAAGAGTCGATGGGAGTGAAGCTTCATGAAGTAAGGTTCTGGCCGTCTCAATAATATGCCTGTGACGGCGTTCAACAAGAGCAACTCTTTGGGGGGTGTATGGAGGAGATAAAAGATGTTCAATACCCTGAGATCTTAGGTACTGATCAAGACCATTATATTCGCCACCACCATCTGTATAGAGAGAGAACTTTCGTATTAAAACGACGATTGATTAATGCTTGAAAGTTCTGGAAAAGGTTGGTAACCTCACTTTTATTTCTTAATGGGTAAAGCCAGGTGTATTTGGTATAATGATCTACAAAAATACCGTAATGTAATTTATTGTCAATCGATTGAACTGGAGAACGACCCCATAAATCACTAAAGATTGTTTGAAAAGGTTGGGTACATGATAAAGTGAACTGCTGAAAAGGATGGCGACGAGCCTTATTCGAAGAACACGAATTACAAACTGAATTTTTTTCCCGCGAGCAAGGTAGCGAGAATTTATTCAAAAGAAAATGTAAAACTCTTGCATATGGATTACCCAACCCACGATGCCAAGTGAAACTGGTTGTGGTGGTGGAAGTCAAATGCGCTTGAGGAGGAGAGATGGAGGTTAAGTCCGGCCACTCATAGAGACCGTCTCTACTCTGCCCGTTCACCAACGGAGACCGCGTTTCCAAGTCCTTCACAGAAAAATGAAAAGGAAAGAATTCAATAGAGGTTAGGTTATCTTGACAAAATTTAGAGACAGAGAGTAAATTGCGTTTAATGTTGGGAGCACAAAGGGTGTTAGAGAGTTTGAAAGATTTATTTGATGCATTTAAATGAGTAGAACCAGTGTGAGTTATTGGGATTTTGTTACCATCACCCGTGGAGACTTGCTCCATGCCATTGTATGCCTGCAGGTTTTGGGGTGCGACAGTGATGTGATGAGATGCTCCAGAGTCGAGAATCCAAGGATTTTCTGATGTGTGCAAGCTTGACACATAATTAGCCTTGGCCTCAAAATGATTGTGAGACTACAATCGACAAACGCTTGCAACATGACCGGGCTTGTTGCACAGCTGGCAGCGTACACCATCATAAGAGTTGTTGTTGGTCGAAGATCTTCTCTGATTGGGTGAAGTGAAGCGATTGTTGGACCGCCATTGTTGGTTGCTTCCATTGTTATTGTTGGGGCAACAATCGTTGCAAGAGTTTGAATTACCAAAATTGTTGGATGTAGCAGCAACAATACTATGGGTAGGAACGTTTTTGGTCTCCTCACGTTAAAGAAAAAGTTCATGGTCCTGAAGCTTTTCGTACAGTTCTTCATAAGTTATAGGGGAGTCACGAGCACGAATTGCAGCAGAAATACCATGAAACTCTGGACCCAGACCACTAAGGATCTTTACTATAAGTTTAGAGTAGGTGACGGGGGCACCAGCAATAGAGAGTTCATCAGAAATAGAGCGAACACTTTGCAAATACTCGGTGACTGGTTGGGAGTCTTTGTTCAGACGCATAAGTCAATCACACACACTGAAAATTCTAGTTTGAGACTTATTCGCATAAGTGGTGTGCAGGGCATACCATGCTGTCTTAGCTGAGTTAGCAGTGGCAACTGTTGTGGCAATTGTTGGATCAACAAATGCCATAAGTGCGTTTTGAATGAGTTGGTTTTGTCGAAACCAAAGAGCAAACGCAGGATTGGCACTAGGGGTTGTGCCAATTGTGATAGTGCGAGATGGGGAAGGAGTAGACCCATCGAGATGACCATGCATAAGCATGGAGAATTGTGCCTTCCACGTTGCAAAATTGTGACTGCCATGTAATTTTATGGGCAATTGGGAAGCAGGGTTAAATTGAACGACCATTGTGCCGATGTTAGTCTTTCTGAATGTGATAGCTGAGAACTGTGATTCTTCGCTCGATCAATTCTTGCCATCACGCTCTGGCTTTAGCATCTGCCGAGCACATCTAAGCGAAAAATAGAAAAAAGTGCCTGGAAGCTGCATCTACTTTAATTGATGATTTCTCACCTTCAGCCTCTATACTATATTACATCAAATAGAAGCGATGGTACAGATATTGACCTAACCAAGCTAGTATGAATCATCTCAGCTCCGATCATGGTGGGTGACTGCGGGAGATTAGTTCTAAGCCACTGCCTCGACAGCATTAACAACGCGAGTAGCATCTCCCATTTGTGGAGGGTGGGTTGAAGAGAAAAGGAAAAAAAAGAAAAAGGTCTTACTCTTTAGAGTATATTAGGGCTCCCGATACCATATAAAATCAAGAGATGGA